GGTCGTATCTCGAAAAATTCGTAAGTAGGGGCGTTCGTAAGTAGAGGTACCACTGTACTACACTAATGCCCAGATTCATTGAGAGTCAGGTGGCAGACAAGTTTAATAAATTATTATTAATAATAAAAAGGTAGCTGAAGAAATTGGACTGGAGCAAAGTAATTCCAGTCAAAGTCTTGGAAAAAATTAGAGTGAAAAGTCCAGGAAATGATGAAGGGAAGAGAGGCATCCTAGAGTTACCTGCTGTCCTTGATCCCTAAAGCCAGTCCTCTCTGATTTCTCCTCTGATAGTTGATCATAAGGACAGGTGGGAAGAAGAGACATTTCAAACAAAAGAGAATCTGACAAAAGTAGAGATTGCTCTGAAGTGTATACCAGGTTAAACAGAACAACCTTCTTTGGTATTATCAGAATTTTTCTGTCTTTACACAGATGCTGAAATATTTTTTTTCCTGCAGAGTAAGCACATTTTGGGAAAAGTGGCAATAGCACTGTTGTGTCTATGCTCTCATAGGAAAATGCTGACCTCTGGTGGTTACCAACTGTCTTTATACTATATGATTCCCAAGTTCTAGTTTTCTCCATGCTGAGCCTTCTGAGTGCAGGAAGGTTTTCTTGTTTTTAACGTAGGGGAGTTTCTAAAAGCATTCTGTCTCCTCTGTTCACAACAGAATAACCCAAGAGTTGTTCTGTGCGTTTTTTCCCTGACAGATTGGCCCTTATATCCATTGGCTGGCCTTTATATACATGGGACTTTGTATACATTACCTATATATACAGGCATACCTCATTTTATTGCGCTTTGCTTTATTGAGCTTCACAGATATTGCGTGATTTTTTTAATAAATTGAAGGTTTGCAGCAACCCTGTGTCAAGCAAGTCTATCAGATATTGATTAGCATTTTTTAGCAATAAAGTATTTTTTAATTAAGGTATGTACATTTTTTTAGACATAATGCTATTGCACACTTAACAGACTACAGTATAGTGTAAACACAACTTTTATATGCACTAGGAAACCAAAAAATTTGTCAGACTCGCTTTATTGCGATATTCGCTTTATTGCAGTGGTCTGGAACCGAACCCACATCTCCGAGGTATGCCTATATATAAAGCTAAAGTTTTATTTTAATTTGTATTGATGTATAAGCTAAAGTAGTATGACTCACATAATATAAACCATAGTTTATGGTTTAACAGAGCGCAGTGGTTGGATTCACACAATACTAAACAAGCATTATGTGCCATTATTATCCACCAGAAAAGAGGCATTATACGACTGTGATCTTTTCCTCACAGATAGGCTTGCTGCTAAAAAGACTTACATAGCCACCTATATTTTTTGAGGACAGATAAGTTGCTTCATTCACATTAGGGGAAAAAAATTCTCCCTACAGATTTCAATGTAGCTTCATATTATAATTATGTATATTACAGTGCTTTCTAACAGTAGGAATTGTATCTATGGGCACAATTGGCTTTGTGATAAGCTGGTGGAATGAAGAAGTAAAAAAAAATGCTGATAGTTAAAAAATAAGGATGAGAAGGAGATAGTCTTTGGTATGTATACAGAGCAAAAAGAGTTGGAAAGAATATAGTCAGAGAGAGCTAGGAATAGTTAAGATTTAAAGAAGCAGACAAAATGCAGAGTTAACTTGCTGGAAATTAAAAAATACTTTGGAAATGGATGAACAGAGATAAACAAAAAACTTTCTGAAGAGTGAAGGGAACTAAAAATAAAAGTGATGGAATGATGATCTGGGGTGAAACTGAAGTGAAGGAATGCCAAAAGAAATATTTTAGAGATTTATAAGGGACTGATAGTAGTATGACAAAGAATAAGAAATTAATGCTATAAATGTTAGTGCCCAAGAAAATATTGATTAAAAGGAAGTCATAAATGCTATGAAAATGTTGGAAAAAGTTAAGGATGCAGGCACTGATGATGTACCTAGAAAAATGTTAAAATAGGGTTATAGTTTGCTTGTCTACTTGTTTAAAGTGTGTGAAGAAGACAACTGTGTCTGACAACTGGAAGAATGCTGTTATTGTTTTTCTGTACAAAGAGAAAGGTAGCAAGAGTGAATGCAAGAACTACAGGAAATGAGTTCCTTAAGTGTGCCTGAGAAGCAAGGCATTTTGCAGAATTCTCATTGAAAAGGTATGAGAGGTGATAACGAGCAAAACTGGAAAATGCAGTGCAGCTTTATCCCAGGTGGGGGGAGGGGCAGTGAGCAGATCAGTTTTTTGTTCTTTGGCAGTACTTGAGAAATGTATATATGAAAAAGCAAGTTTATCGGACACTTGTTGATTTAAAGAAAGTGGATTATAAATAAATAGATTTGAATTACGGAATGTTTTTCATGAATATGGAGCTGAAGGTTTGCTGCTGAATGCAATAAAAGAGGTGTATATACTGGGAATAAGACACAGATGAGAATAAATGGAATGCTTAGGAAACAATATAATACTGAGCAGGGGCAAAAACAAGGATGCATGATATCCCCTTGGCTCTTTAATGTATTTAACATGATGTTCAATGAAGGCTTATGATTACATTAGCAGCATGGGGGAAGTGCCCAAGTGATTTGCACTGAGTGATGCAACAAGGAATGTGGTTTTGAAAAATTAATGTATCAAAGGGCTGAGGTGATTGTGTCCAACAGGGAAAATGCAGGGAACAATTACAAGTTATACCTAAATGGTGAAAAATTAAATCAAATATGCAATTTTGTGTTCCTTGCCAGAATGTTTACTAAAGATGGAAAAATGGAGGGAGAATTTTCAAGATATGCACTATTCAGAACCACTGTGGTGGTATCCCATATTGTGCTAAGCCTCAACACCTCACATTATGTTTTAGCAGGATGTGAGAATCTAATCAACATTTGACTTTATTGTTGGTTAAAAGAATACACATTTGTTCTGGTGCTGTAACCAGATCTATAAAGACAATATACAACAATACTTGCCCATATATAAATGTTTGCCTTCTATGACATAAATATTTATATTTGTGTAATGTATGCCAAGTCAGTGCAAAAAGACGCTGAAAGAAGAAAAAGAAGTTCATTTGTATCTTTTCTTCAAGGGGCATCACAGAGGGCAGACAAAGGCTTTTTAGGGATGCAAGTTGCAGTTTAAATAACACATACTGAACAACTTCATTCCCCTGATTTTTCACCATTCATTAAAAAAAGAGAAAGAATTCTTACTTGTATCACTGGCACCACTAGGTTCAGAAGAACAGAACAGCACATCAATAAGATCAGATGCTGGACCAGACCGATAGTGATTAAGTGTATTTAAAGCCCTTCCAAAGAGAATAAAATAAAAACAACTGAATCTTAAAGACAATTCCTTCAGAACTTAGGAAATAACATCAAGCAATAATATCCCAGATAATTACAACTGTTGTGTGATCATCCTGAAATGAATATCATAGTCTCAGAACCATACTGAAACTTCCCAGGAATTTAGTAATTAGAATTTAGTAATTAGAAGTTAAATTAGCTTCTCTTCCACTAACTGCTTCATTCAGGGGAAAAAAAATGAACTTCCAGCCACATGCCAACTTAACCCAACAGGAACATGCCATCTGAAGCCTATTTGTTTCTGCGCTTTCACAAAGAAAAGACCCAGATTACCAACATGTTATCACCATATGCATTATAAAGTACCCTGTATGACAAAAATGCAGCTGCCCATAAACTACTGAACAAAATTGTATTATAAAAATGTGGAAATAATCATGCATCTATAAGGCTATCAGCCAGAATCTCAGTACAATGAAAGCAAATGGAGAAGGATTTCCCTGCTTATACCTCTTATAACTGCTCTCCTTACTTGCTCTCAGCACTCGGGTTATGATCAGCTGTAAATACTTGACAAGTTACTATAGCTTTTTAAATAAAGAAATCTTTATTCTCTATTTAAGACACAAAACGTCCATAATCATCCTTTGTTAGCAGTTTACCTTTTGAGTCTGTTGTATGTAACATCATTGGCAAGTTTCAACAGACGGTACAAATTCTCCTCATCTAAACTTACAAGGTTACTCTGAGGCTCATCAACTGCAATAGTAATTGAATTGGAGGCCATCCGGGTGACAATTCCTGTGCAGATCTGATTATTTTGTCCAGCCGCTTCATAAAGTCCCACTATGTCACCTGCAGAAGATAAATCATGACAAAGAACAAAATTTAGACTGCAAAGCAACAAACAAATCTTATCCCAGGCCAGATTGTCTACCTAGCCTGATTCTATGCACTCTAATTTCAGCTCCCCAATATTGAAACCATCATAGGTCACCTGAGTCCTAACTAGAGAGGAATAAGAATAGCCTGCACACAAAGCATGTAGCCTACCACTGAGCTATGGTCCCAATAATTTAGCAGAGCACTTTCTCATTAACAACTTTAGGGACCTCATGAAATTCACTCATCTCATTCTAAATAGCAAATGGCCTGTTTCTCACAGGATTCCCCATCTCCTCTGTATTCATACACACTCAGCAAGAATCAGATTAGTCGATTACAAAAACATCTCCTTAAACTAGGGTAGGAAAAAAAAGATAAAAGTTGATACTGAGCTTAGAATTCAATATCTTGAGATTTCATTTCAACAATTTCATCACACACTGGTTAACTGCTGCATAAATTATGGACTAGGTAGAAGGACACCTATTACAATACAACCAAAAGGGACCCAGTATTTTCAAGTATTTATTTTATGCAGCTCTCATAATTCCTTTTTAATATGAGTGCAGGAAAAAAAATATTTTAAAATGTCTTTTAAAGGCAGTATGTGTGCAAACAGTTTTAAGTGTGAAACACCTGTTTTGGATTCAAAACCCATCCAAAATGATCTAAACACCCTGTCTTGTATACAAAACACCTGTTTCACACTTGAAGCAACTATTCTGAACTTGAAGCAGGCATTTCTAATTTGAAATGGTTCAAATTCAAATTTTGCACAATCCTGGGAAGTAGTTACTTTACGGTTATAACCATGTTGATATATCTAAATATGCTTAATATGGAAATTTGCTTCCTAGCTAACCTGGCACCAATAACTCAATATCATATCTTAGTAATGATCACTTTATCAATGGAATGTAAGGGGGAATGGCCAGCCACCAGAGAAGATGGTGTTGAGCCCATTGCTCTCCTCTTGACCCAGCTTATTTCAGATTTCTAATTAAAGCAGATTTCAGCTTTCTGACTTAGCTGAACTCCTGTTTTAGAAGATCAAAGAAAGGAAAAATGTCGAGAAAAGGCACCTCACATAAAGGCAAAGAAATTACAGCCTATCTGAAGGAATTACAAATACATGAATCTCATCACTCCTCCAGCAATGAAGAGGAAAAAAATCAACAATAAAGACATTTAGAGGTGAAGCAGCTAAGATAAATCATTGTGGTAAACAACACACTGATTCTCATTCAATCAAGTATTGAACAGACAACTCAGGCAAGACCTAAAACTGGAATGGGAGAAGACCATAATACTGATAAGAGAGAACTTAGCAGGTATAATAAATTAATAAGCAGTTTAAGGAAATGTCAAAGCAAATGTCAAACAACTAGCCAAGCACATGATTCTAGCATACAGAATGCATCTGTAGATAGAAACAGTTCCAAAAGATATTTCAGATATCAAGATAAATTTGGCAGATTTGCAAGATCAAAGAAATAATCTAAGGATCAGAGGTTTAGAGAAACTGCTGAGAATGTTGATAAAATTGATTGATCACTTGGTGACAAAACGTAATTGTTTCCTCATCTAAAATCTATGGATAGGAATATTGAATATGCAAATAGAGTGTTTACTCCTAGGTTCACAAAGATACAAAGACTGAGAGACATTGTAATACATTTCTCATGCATGCATAAGAGACAAACCTATTTAAAAGAAATGTGAGCTAGAAGAAAGAAATTGAGGAGGAGATAAAGTGATGTTATTTCAGGATATCAGCCAAGCTACAGAAAAGGAAACAGTTCAACCCCCTCTCCAAGCAACTAAACAAGGAATAAGTGAAGGATTTCTTTCAAATTAATTATTTAAATTATTCAAATTATTTTCCTTCCTTGATACTTGAATATAATTTCTACTCTTCAAGAAATAAACAGAGTTTTGGATGACCTTAAGAAAAATCACCTGCATTATTAGCACAAAAGATGATTTGGGAACTTCTGAAGGACATCTGTAGTTGCAAGAAGATAGAATGAAAAAGACGGCAAAAACAGTTAGGACTATGAACTCTATGAATTAGAGCCTTATTATTTAATATCACCTTAGGAGAAAGGGGGGGGAAAACAGGCTAAATGCTAATAAATGAGTATGATTAGCTAGGAGGGAGGAGTAGAGCACAGCATCACCTCCTTGGCCTGTAGAGGGGCTCTTACTGAGCTTTTGTAATTTTTTTTCTATAAATACAAGTAGTCCCCATTTTAAGAACAAGTTCCGTCCCAAGGTCTGTCCTTAAGTCGAATTTGTATGTAAGCCAGAACGGTATTATTGTATAATATTTTGTAAGTAGTATTGTGTAATTAACTCAAATCATTGTGCATTTAACTTGAATTTTGCTACATAGGCTCCATTCTTAACTACGGGTCGTCTGTAAACTGGGCTTTCTTAACCCAGGGATTACCTGTAGCTTCATATAGTATATGGTTTGAAGAGGGGTGGAAGGGTTGGAATGGGAGATTTAGACAAGCAAGGGATATAGGGACAGGGAAGGAGGGAGGAAGGACATATGGAGGGAAAAAATAGGTAAAAAGGCTCTTATTCAATGCAATTGTTTCAGAGGGTTTTCAGCTTGAAAATAATCTAAATTACAGGTAATCCTTGCTTATTTGTATAGCAACCATTCAAAGTTACGATAGCACTAAAAAAAGTGACTTACAACTGGTGCCTGAAGTTATGACCATTGCAGCGCCCCCATGGTCACGTGATCACGATCTGGCCACTTGGCAACCAGCCTGCATTTACAATGACTGCAGTGTCCCAGGGTCACTTGATCGCCATTTGTGACCTTCCCAGCCAGCTTCCAGCAAGCAAAATCAATGGGGAACTGCATGATTAACTTAACATGATTTGCTTAATGACTACATGATTCACTTCATGACCATGGTGATTCGCTTAACCACCACCGCAAAAAAGGTTGTAAAATCAGGCCTGGTCATGTGATGATTTGCTTAATGACCACATTACTTAGCAACCTAAATTCTGGTCCCAACTGTGGTTTTTAAGCATGGACTACCTGTATATGAAAAGTAAGTTAATATTAGCAAGAAAAGACGATCCTTGTGAGTGATCAAGAAACAGTTTCTTTGAATGTGGAAGTTTAGGAGATATAATCAAAAGGATTTGAATTAGTAAATATTTTAGATGTTTAAATCCATCTATATAGTATAGTAATGCTACATGAAACATATATAAAGGAAGGCATAAAGGGAAACTATTTTGTAAAAAAAATTTGCTGGGAGAACAAATAAATCAAGAGATATGGCACGTCAAATAAAACTAATTTGAATTTTATAGTAAAGAATACAAAAGGATAGAGATGGGAGGTTTATTTTTATAAAAGGGAAACTGGACAATTAAATTGCTTCAATATATTCTCCCTAACCCAGGACAAATAGATTTCCTTCAGAAAGTAATTCAATGTTTAAACAGATTTGGCATAGAGAACTTGATTATTAGGAATAAATTTAAACATCACTGCAGGCACAATTTGGAGGAAATGGATACACAAAAATTTAAAGGACAAAATTTATTGTATAAAAGTCTTCAGAAAATTATGCAGGCTCAGAGATTAATTAATACACTAGGAACTATGAATCTCCAATCAAATGGATTTATATATTACCGAAACAGACATTGATCTTACTCAAGAATCGATTACTTACTGGTCTCTAAATTTTAAGTCAGAATCAACAAGCTGAAATGGGGCAATTTTGGGGTCAAACCATGTATCAGTGATCCTAAAGTTAAAATTGGATAATAACATACCTTATACTTATTTTTGGCATTTCTATCCTGTATTAACCCTTAATCAAGTAGCAAAACAAAATTTATCTCAGGTATTGAAACATTTTTAAAGAAAGTTATGCAAAACAAACATCTATTACAAAAATTTTTATTTAATTTTATTCCATATTTATTTGGGGGCAACTCAAGGCAGCATTCATATCTATTGCTCTTGCCTCCTATTTTCCCCACAACAACCCTGTGAGGTAGGTTAGGCTGAGAGAAATTAACTGGCCCAAAGTCACCCAGCCATCTTTCATATCTAAGGAAGAACTAGTTTAATATATAATATCAAAGAGTTTATATGTTAGAAACAGAATGGTGAACCATCATTTGACAGGATCTAGAAGGACTATACCCCTTCATGGATCACTGCCTTGTCGTGGTGAAGGGGCTTGCGTAACTCAGTGAAGCCATGA